CCCCCCATCTAAGCAAAAAAAAAAAAAAAAAAAAAAAATGTTAAATTGTTGGCAAAGATTATTTCTTATGTTGAATAATTCATTTCGTTTTCGTTACTTTTTTATAAATATTTTATTTATTTATTTATTTATTAAGTTGCACCAACAAAGTGATCATCGATACAAAACATTGAACAATTGACAAAAGTTCATGGCAGATGTCACCTTAATTATAGGTACATTCGACAGTGCATTAACAACAAAAATAAATTAAAAATTATATAACTAAGATTTGATTACATTTGATTGATTACTTAAGATTAATTTATATTTAATTGGGAAATGATTCGCGACAGATTTTTCCCGTAAGTTGTGAGACAATTAGAAAAAACATCTATTTCACTTAAAATTAGTTCAGCGCAATCGGACAACTCCGAAGGAACATTGACGGAGACCGCGCTGCTGTGGACATTATTGTAGTCCCAAAGGATTTTGGGATTTTTAGGATTTTGTTGAAAGATATTTGATTTCGTTAGAAGAAATATGTAACCCGCTAAGTTTCTCGCCAGATCTTCTCAGTTCCGGTCCGATAGTAGATTCATTCGCGAAGCAGTTGCTCTTGAGTTGTTAGGTCACCTTCGGAATCGCTCGGGCGCCTGTTAGCAAATCCCACTCATCCTGGTTGAGCCTTTGCTCGCCCACATGTCCTGGTGAAACTGGAAAAGCCTCCGGGCTACCAGTAATCCTTCAATAATAATAAAAAGGAAAAAGTAGCAATGAAATATTTGTGAAAAATGAAAAATAAATATATTTGTACGGTTGACACTAACAAAAACATCATAGAAATATTACATGTTATGAATAGCAATTTCTTAAGTATTTAGCCTTGAATGAGTCATCTATTTCTTAAAATTCATATTTATAATGTTTTAAAAATAAACACTCGACATAATCTGGTGAAAATAGATTTAATGGTGATACATCTTATAACGTCGTGGGTGGGTGTTGTAAAAACTAATAGATATTTACAATAAGAATTTAAGAAAAAAATTGAAACGGATCTAACGTTTTTTTTCTTCATTTATTCGAATTCTGAATGAAAGTTTTTCAACCCAACTTTAGTTGTCCGAGACGATCATAGGTAAGTAAACGTTATGATACATAGTTAAATGTCCATTATTGATAAATTCTACTTGTTGATCTACATGTTGTTCTACTTTTTTTTTATTTTGCTTAGATGGGTGCACGAGCTCACAGCCCACCTGGTGTTAAGTGGCTACTGGAGCCCATGGACATCTACAACGTAAATGCGCCACCCACCTTGAGATATAAGTTCTAAGATCTCAGTATAGTTACAACGGCTGCTCCATCCTTCAAACCGAAACGCATTACTGCTTCACGGCAGAAATAGGCAGGGCGTTTGTACCTACCCGCGCGGACTCACAAGAGATCCTACCACCAGTAAGAAAGAGAAGAAGTAAGAAGAAGAAGTAAGAAAAAGAACTTGTAGAGTAACTAAATTAAAAGCTCTAAATTATCAATAGTATGAACGTTTGCGATTTTTTTTGTTCTGGTCATAGGTACCGGCAGCAGTAGCACGTGAGAAAATCCTACTGCTTAATGTGAAATGCAAATTTCCCCTAATGAATTTAAATTTTCAGGGAGAAATTCCAAATATTTCCGAAATATCTGGCCGTATGGG